GACAAAAGCATCCAGGGACACCCAAGGAGGGAGGAAGGAGAGAGAGAGAAGGAAAGAAAGAAAGAGAGAGGGAGAGAAAGGGAAAGGAGAGAAAAAGAAAAAGGCAGGTGTTCCCAGCTACGAACAAGCGTCCAGGGACACACCAAAGAAAGAGAGGGGTGATCCTGAGTGTTGCATTCAAGAAAACCCCAGGAAGCAAAGAAAGAAAGGGGGAAGGGAAGGGGGAGAAAGGGGCTAAGGTCCCAACAGGTTCCAATGAACCTCAAAAATACTTTGACCGCTGTGGTCACCTTGTGCCCTGCCGAAGCGGCTGGCTGCTTTGACCGCTGCGGTCACGTAAAGGCATAAGCCAGCTTGGAATTCCTAAGATGAGACAAAACCATCGTACGTACGGCCTAGGCCACCTACGCTCGCTGCGAGCTGCTCTGTATCCGGGCAGGGGATACGTTGGACATACACCCGTTCGACGGGTCCACGGGAGGCACTCTGCGGGCTCATCCCGGGTTGGCACGAAGCCAAACACACTCATGGATATGCGTACTGACTTGATTGCGGCGCCACACGCCAACCTAAGAAACCCAAATCCTGAAAGATCCAGGAAAGTCCTGAAGAGCCTGGGGGTCTTCAAACGGAAAGGTGGCCCAAATCGTAAGCCGACAACGGAGCGACAGGGTGACGGCGAAACGCGCATTAGCCCTTTATAAAGTACCTGAAAACCTAAACACCTCCTGGAACAACATCAGGTACATGAACCACCATGAAACAAACCAAGGGACCACAGCAACCAATCAACAGTTTAACAATAGCAGGTACGTGTGATCCTGAGTGTTGCATTCAGGAAAACCCCAGGAAGCAAAGAAAGAAAGGGGGAAGGGAAGGGGGAGAAGGGGGCTAAGGTCCCAACAGGTTCCAATGAACCTCAAAAATACTTTGACCGCTGTGGTCACCTTGTGCCCTGCCGAAGCGGCTGGCTGCTTAGACCGCTGCGGTCACGTAAAGGCATGAGCCAACTTGGAATTCCTAAGATGAGACAAAATCGGAGTTCTGGTGGCATGAGCCAGCTACTGTCCGCTGCGGACACGTACATCTCCGGGCAGGGGAGATAACGACGTACCCCCGTTCAACGCGTCCACGGGAGGCACTCTGCGGGCTCATCCCGGGTTGGCACGAGGCCAAACACACTTAGGGTAGGGTGTACTGAACTGAAAGCGGTGCCACACGCCGGCCTAGGGTTCCATTTCCTAAGAGAACCAGTAAGGACCATCGAATCCTGGAGGTTTTAAAAGGAAAGGAGGCCAAAAGCGTAAGGTTGAAGACGACGAACAGGGCGAAATGACGACGATCGCTCAAGTCTGCAGCAAGTGAGGTTCTGGGCTTGGCCTCGTGCCATTCCGTTTGAAAAAGGCAGGTGCGTAGTTCTGGCGTCCCAGAACTATATCACTATGCGACAGATGCGTCTTCGTTGGCTGGAGACATCTGAAGCACACTCCAGCCCCCTGCTGCACAAGGAAAACAACTGTGAAGCTAAAACAATCCGAAAGGATCCCTATGATTCCAAGGGTTACACACACACACACACGGTTGGTCCGTTGCCAAGCGCACACGCACGCACAAGCTGGCATCTATGACATGGCGACGGTGAGACCCTTTGCCATGTGAACCCAAAATGCTACAGACTGTCTCTGCAGAATCTTGATTATTGACTATGAAGCTGGTCAGGGGTCAGAAGTGTCAATTGCAGTGTGTTCTCTGAATCAATCGTAGCAAACAAGCAAAACGGATCAACAAAAAAGACAGGAGCAGTGTCTGCTTGAACCTCTTTGGACAGTACTGCGCCTGCGGATCCCACAAAGGCAGCAGGCAAAAACCTGCGAGGCGAGGTTTTTGTTCCATATGATTTGCTTCCTGGATTTTTGTGAGAAATTCGCGGTTCAATCCTTGGAACTTCTCAACAGAGAAATGGTCGGAGGTGTTCTTCATGTCCTGTGTGCCACCTGTGATCGACAGAATCATGAAGTCAACACCAAATTCTTTGGCAATTTTGACGCGAGTCTCATCAATATATCCACCCGCAAGGTCACCTAAGGCCTTCTTGTTTTGCCACCACTCACTCCACGGGTGGTTCTGCTGCATTGGAGTAGTTCCAAATCCTTTTGAAACCAACATGCTCCTCCAAGGCGACCTTGCAAATCGAAGAACCACCTGTGGCTCCACGATGGTTTCCATCAACTCCTTGTCTTACTGAAAGTAAAGTTGCGACGTCTGGCTCGGTTGCACCGCTGGTATCACATGCTATGTTGGCAAGCACCACTTCCATTATGAATAGTGCTCCCAAAAATGATCCCGTGAATCCCGTGGCCATGGTGGAAAAACCCTTTCGTCTCAACAGCTGTGTCCCAGTTGGGCCGGACTGCAAACAAAAACATATGCATTTCTGCCCCCTGTACATGCACTCAGTGTGTTCATCGAACCACCGTGTTGTCCTATTGTTGTTTGTAATCCGCACATGTTCAAAACATCAGCCCCCTGGTTTTGCAATGACACCTAATCAGGTTGTATGATATTCCAAGAGTCCAAAAAACGCATCAGCCAGCCACAGCTAAGCCATGAGGCATCACTGCAGGAAGCGCACAAGAGTGTTCACGAAAACCGATCACTGAGTGGCCACGAACCGAGCGTATTGACCAGGCTCTGTGGCGCACATTGCTTAGCAGAATTCAACATGAAGGTGTCATGAGAAGAGCGAAAGCTGAGCAGGTTTGTGCAAATCTTTTGGACACATTATTCGGTTGGTTGGAGGGCAGAGTCTCAACATGTGTGAACAAAAGTTCTGTTGAAGTTTTGCTGAGCAACGACCTGTACTTGAGAGGATAACAAAAGGAGCGAACCCGGCACCGCGCTTTTGCTAGCGGGTAACAACCATGCTACCAACAGTAGTCGTGCACCCTTCAGCAAAAACACAAATATTTGTTCCCCATGTCATTACATCAAAGTGTTCATTTTCCCTGCAACATGCTGCATTTTGATACATGGTGTGACATTCAACCACACCAGCATCCTTTTGGTTTCTGCCGCATCTTCTCGTTCCTGATTCGTTTTGAGTGGACTTTCATTGTGTTTAGCCAAAACGATTCCTTCCAAATTTGCGTTAGCATCCTCATGCGTCAGAACAATCATGATATATATATATAATTTATATATAATGTACAAATATCCGTCAACACAGCTTTGTCCAATTGAACATGATGGAGGATGGAGGAGTGGTGGGGTCTAAGGGGAGTTGTTTCTTTGCCACAAAAATAATTCACATGACATTCGTTGACATCTCCTTGAGCAACCCACCCCTAACTTTGCGTCTCACAGACATCCGGACACCTCCTTTCGTCTCTCACGAGCATCCGACGACTGCATTGGTGTAAGACATAGGGTTGCAAACGCAAACGCACCACATACTAGTAACTAATGTATGCACACGTTGACTTCCAGTGCTGATGTAAGCCCTCAGTTGTTCAAGTGTCCGCAATAACGGGTCAAGCTTTGTTGCGGAACAATGTTGGATCAGGCAAAATGAAAATAGGTGCTTCTCACATTGACGGCGGCAACATGTCAGTCATGAGAACTGTTCCAACTCGCGTAGCGAAACGCGGGGAGCACCGAACAAAAGGCGCAGTATCCAGCATCCACTGGTCCACTGATAAAACAGAATGCATACTTCACCACAGCAAAGTGCGAAGAACGAAAACCAATCGAGAGACGACATCAAGGACTGCCTTTTGAACATCGCAAGCTCCAAAACGTTCAAAGATAGAACAAACAGTTAAGAACTCAAGAAGGACATGTTGACACACAGCCGAATCGAGTCGCTGTTTTTTGTGATTCGGGCGAAGGCCTGGGTCTCTGTGAGGTTTCACGTGTTTCTCTTCAAAAGGTGCGTGCAACCAGGGTGGCTGTGGGCGGGCAATGCGAAATCTAAAAGCAAAGACATGACGCCATAAAACTCAATCGACACATGGCTTGAAGACATGTACATGTGACAGCCATGCACATCAAAACATGTTCATGTTTGAACCTCAAAGCGACATCAAGACAACGGTTTGCTCGCAAGGCCAACAGTTTGATTTCATGTTTGATCCGCTTGCCCACGGGCCGCGCACTTAAGACATCAAGAAAGACATGTAAACAACCACATCAAAAACGAATCGTTTTTTTGTGACTGGGGTGAAGGCCTGGGTCTCAACCTCCCCTCTCGAGCGGAGTCCCTCGTGGCTTTGAGTTGCCCTACAAGTAACACAGTAAGTCGAACCTTGATGAAGGTTATGCCAAATGCCATCTTTGTCACATCGAAGAGTACCGCGAGGGCTTTCATCGTGTTAGTGAACTGACTGGCTTTATCACCTGAACGAGCGAACCTCCATCCTGTATGATCGAAGAGCAGCGCTCCCGATTGAGCTGCGCGAAAAGAGTGCGTTAAAAATATGAGTTCCGTCTGAGCATCCTGAGGCATCGAGAGTCGAGAGGGTCTGAGGTCCAAAGGGCCAAAAGAAAAGAACGACCAGGGGTTACAGCACATGTCACAGCGTACACCAAGTTTCCTTCGTGCAGTTTCGTATCATCTTCAGACCATGGACCAATTTGGGCTCAAGGAGAAAAGGAGCGCCAGTCCGAACTGTCGCTTCGACTTGTTGAGTGCTTTGTTTGGGAGTTGTAGTGCTTCTAGTTTTCCCAAAGGAAGGCTCGCCGCTACACTTCCTTTGGGTTATCAGCTGTATAACGGCTTTGCATGGAAAAGCGGACTCGAGGTGAGCGAGGTGGTAAGTTGGCCCTTCGCAAGAAGCGTCGTGAGAGTTTTTGGAATTTGTTTCAGAACTTTCTTGCATACTTTGCTTACTATTCGAGGCGACAGTACACGTGGTATTCCCATCAGGTCAAGGTTGTTCCAAAGCCTCGGAGGCGTACAATGGTCTCGCGAGAGCACATTGAGCTGCCAGTGCGCAATACAGTGAGTTTTCGTGGACCGCCGGCGCCTGCAGAGGAGACAACTGAGGAGATTGGATCACAGTATCCCGCACACAAGGTCGAAGCTGAACCCGTTGATCTTGAGGTTACAGCGTGGAGGAACATTTACGTTGAGGAAGAGCCGGCTGCTGCTTTCTCGGACCTGAAGGTGGTGGGGAAGCTAGAGGATCTGCATCTTCAGAACCTGCGGAGGAAGTTGCCGAAGAGACCGGGGAAGAGCCCATCTTGACTGGCCGACGTGCTGGGGTAGGAGAGGAGGTTCGTCTGTTTACGCAGAACCCGGAGGATCTAAGCGAGGGTATTCACGGAGGTCCACCATCAAGTTGTTTCAGCGACCATGCAACGGGCCGAAGCCCAGCATGCTAGCATCTCATGAACCAGGCTTCCGTAAGCCATGAGCAATCCATCCAAGACCAAAGGGTTCAAAACCAGGCCCGCTTGGCCGAATTGACTAGGTCTGCAGAATCACTTCACAACCAAGTTGTTGAGGGTATGGAACAGAGGCACCAAGAATCCATGGGCAATGCGCAAGCCTTTCATGACCAAGTCGTGCAGAATATGGAGGATAGGTTGCATCAGATCCAGGTTCAGGCCCAGCAGTTCGAAGCCGAAAAGCAATCCATGTTGGCACAGTTCAAGGGTCAGCTAGGAAACCTTGAAAACCAAATGGCCCAGGTGTTTTGCAAGAACGGAACTCGTTAAGAGAACAGCTTCGCATGTTGAGTTCGGGCCAAGCTTCGACCTCAAGACGCCGGAGCGCTGCGCCTTGCGCGCCTCCAGCATCAGTCGAAATTCCGTACCAGCCCCAGATCTTAGCACCACCAATTCCACCGTCATTTCAGGATCGTTCAGTTTTGGAGTCATTGCAAAATCGTCTTGAAGTCTTGAAAGCAAAGGTTTCAGGCTTAGAGGGTCAACCACTGTTGCAAAAGCATTCCAAAACTAGAAAGAAAAAGAAGTCCAGTTCTGACGAATCTTCATCAAAAGACAGCTCTTCAAGTAGTTCGGAAGAAGACGAAGGGTTTTTTGTTGGAGAAACGTAGGATGCGATTGAAGTCATATGAAAAGCTCAAAGTGTCTTGATTGCCAAAGTCAGCAAGCGACTTCAGACCCTGGAGGAATGGGCTCTCCGCTTCCATTGCACAATGCAGTAGAACAAGCGAAACGTTTGTTTACTCATGGCTGCGTTTGGCTTTTGAAGGGACCACTAAATACAAGGAAGTTGAACCAAACGAGGAGTTTCCTATTTTATCCAGAGTTCTTGGGACCAAGTTGCTTGAACTTTCAAAGGGCTCCAAGTTTCAGCTAGAGTTCCAAAGCTTGCAAGAGAAAGCACGCATCAAGGGAAAGCATCCGTCAGGTCTGCTTTTGTTGCATCGCATCGCTCGTCGGTTCCATTTGGAAAAGGAGAGGGGCATGACTTTGAACTCTCAACATCTTTTGGTATTCAAACCTTTGGGTAACAATATCAAAGATCTTGAGCAATTTCGGGATAAAGTCATGTAACTGTATGTTCTTTCCGGCCTTGATGAGAGTGACCATGCGTTCGTGGCTCTACGAGGCATTGAAGAAAGTGCCTTGTATGCAGCTTAAGATTGAACGTTTCAGAGATGCTTCAGCTGGGGATCCGATTCGAAGCTTCGAGTGGCTTTGGGGTAAACTTGAAGAGACACTTGATGAAGCCCAGCATGACATCAACTATCATCATGGCATCCCTTATTGGTAACACGATGTAACACGGCTAATCTTGCAGCCCTCACGAAAGAGGACAAGGGAACTGGAAAAACCAAAGAGAAGGAAAAGGAGAAGAAAGACAAAGAGAAAGAAGAAAGGGACAAAGATGCCAAAGCAGAGCAAGAAGCAGCTTCGGCGGCTGCCAAGGCCAAGCCTAAACCGAAGCCAAAGGCAAAAGAGAATCCTAAAGTGATTGTCCTGGTGAAGCTGGTCAACCCTGTTTGTTTTTCTCAAGCGGTACCTGCAGTAGAGACCCGTGCCCTTTCATTCACGACACCGGAGGAGCATCGTCATCGACTGACCCAAAGGCCAAACCGAAGCCGAAGGCGAAGACAAAGTCAGTTCCTCATGTTACAGCTGCGGTTGCAGCTCTAGGATCGTTGCCAGGTGAAGGCGCTTTGAAGACAATCCTCAAAGGTTCAGTTTCCATGTTGCCATTGCTAGGCCAAGACACCGTTGTTCCCGCAATTGAATGCTGTCAAGATCAAGTGCCTCTCACGTCATTTGATGCAAATAGCTCTACTGTGGAATGGATCTTAGACTCAGGTGCTGATAGAACGGTAGGCACACTCAACCAAATCCCAGATGAATTCCATGGGTCTCAGAACCCAGTCAGCTTTGCTACAGGCGGTGGCAAGAAGCAGGGGGACATCATGCCGAGTTCATGGGGAGATTACACTATAGTGGTGATAGTGAATGTTACCTTCTCGAATCGTCACCCTGGGCATTGTCATTGGGAGAGCAAGCCAGGAAAGGAAAGGCCTTCATTTGGTTGCCTGCCCAAAGTCCAGATGACCCGCTGCCGCTACCCTTCCGAGTTGACAAGCAGAACATAGAGCACTTGAAAGTGTCATGCCGACAACAGTACCGCATCTATGCGGGCAAGGTCAAAGAGAATGTCCCAATCTTCAAGGAGCATGTCGAAGTAAGTCACATGGCTGCCGTAGAAGAAGCAGAAGAGAAAGGATATTCAGACTACACGCTTTCACTTCCACCAGAAGATCCAGAAGCACAGGAG